AGCTTGGTCTGGTTCCTGTAGTCTCTCACTTACTCGGGCCTTGACTTTGTACTGCCCTATATATATCTGTGTGTACACTCAGACTGGACTTGTGTCCTCTTACAGTGGTTGGACTAGTAGTGCCGCCCTGTACTAGTTCTTGCCTTGCCTGTACTCCTTCTGACTGGTCTTTTAGACCCTTGTCTCAGAGGCTGGACTAGTAGTGCCACCCTGAGCTGCTTGTCTAGAACATTCCCCTATGCAGTCCAGGGGGTGTGTCAAACATGTTTAGTTATCATGCTTGTATAGACTGTATAGGGTCATCTTCTAGAGAGTACAACTGTTAGGTATATGTTTGTGTACTCTCTCTCTCTATTTATCAATTTCACTGTTTGATATTAACTTGGTTGGCTTGTTTTTGTTTTGCAAATTTTTGACAAATGTTCACTATAATCTTAGCTTTGTTTGCATCATATTTCCTTCATCACCCGAATAGAAGGCAGTAACGAGTAGAAGACGAGTATCTTTTATGCGGGTGTTTTCTTATATATGAATGGAACTTTGAAGGATAAGGTTGCTGTTCCGAAAATAACGCTTCTTTTCTGCACCATAGATAGGGTGTAGCAGCACTCTGAAAGCGAGTACAGTTTTGGTATGTCGGATTTCCCAAGGCGATCTGCCTCGAATCTGACAACTGACTGAAAAGCGCGGAAAGTTATGACAGCATGTGCTGAACACCTGCAAACCACTTCAGCAGTTTCAACGACAGCTCTTCACCACGCATGCGCATGCCGCAGTGCCGCAATGCCATTGCTCTGTAACAGCGGTGATCGCTAGAGATCGGAACATCGTACGGTAGCCTGCCTTTTCTTACCTTTCTTCTCCGCCTCTATACCTTCGAGTTTCGCGAATTCGCGAAGTTCGCGACGTCGTCTTTTGAGTTTCCGGTCCTTGTGCAATGATGGGCGACCCACTTTCCGCACGGCTTCGCAGATTTGCCACACCTCTACCCTCCCCTGTCCCCTCTTCCCCTCAGGGACAAAGAAGAGAGCGCACTTATACTAGGAAAGCTTTCTTTGCACCTTGGTACTTCAAAAGGCGCCTAGATAAGGTCGCACGTGGCACCTTGGCATTTCTATCCTAGCTGGAGACAAGCAAGCAAGCTAATGATTATTTACAAGTAGCCTTGCCTTGTTGTCTCTCCTAGAAATAGCTAAACAAGCATAGAAATTAACTATACAAGTAGTTTTCATTTTCCAAGTAGTGCTGGCGTCTTCGTCATCTTGTAGATGTCGATTGTAGTCTTCGCTGGCGCTTGTAGTAGCTGCAGTAGTTAATCTCTAGCTTGTGCTGGCGCTTTCCACGCTTTGCTGGCTCTCGAAATCTGCTCTGGAGTAGTGCTGCTGACTCACAGGCAGCTGTACAAATTTGGGGTTGGGGAATTGTTCAGTTCGAGGCGCACAATTTTGGTTGGACGAATCCAACCTCGAAATCTACAGTTCGCTGAGTTGGCGAACTTTCGGGTGAGTTCGCTTTCGCCTTGTAACATTACTCCCCTCCCCAGTGAGCACCGTCCTCGGTGCTGCCCTGGAAGCAAGATACTTAGTAAGGGCTCGCTGCGCGTACTGCAAACCACTTCATGAATCCAAAGGTTGTGGGACTCATCTTGCCCACGCCACTTCACAAGGTAGTAGGTGCCGTTGCAGGTGTCTTCATGAGCAAGGATGTTCTCAACTTCAGAAAGGTCAGGACTTGGAGTGAACATGAGGAGGAGGAGGAGGCTTAGAAGATGAGGGAAAGTGAGAAGGGGGTTGATGGTAAGGGCGTAGAAGTTGAACGTGGAAGACAGGATGGATGTTGATGTGAGATGGGAGCTTAAGGCGGTAGGTGAGAGGAGAGAGACTTGGGTGATAGTGAAGGGTCCAATGAAGCGAGGAGCCAGTTTACGAGTAAGGCCTTCTTGCAGTAGAGGGAGATTGGCCGTTGAGAGGAGAACCTGGTCACCTTCTTTGAAGTGGATGTCACGCCGATGCTGGTCAGCATACTGGATCATACGCCGCTGTGCTCGAAGAAGAGATGCACGTGCTGTTGCAATGACTGTGTTCTTGCTGCTGAGGAAAGCAGTTGCTGCAGTATCTCGAGTGGGGCTGTGTACGAGTGAAGAGGGAGTGCGAGGGTTCTGTCCAGTAGCAAGGTAGAAGGGGGTCTGTCCAGTGGCGAGGTTCACGTGTTGTTGTAGGAGAACTCGATGTCAGGTAGGTGGAGATCCCAGTCGTTCTGGCACACGTTGACGCAGGCTCGCAGACCATCTTCAAGCGTTCGATTCATCCTTTCAGTCCCATCTGACTGAGGTGATAGGCAGTTGAGAGGCGAATCTTGGTCCCGAGCCTGTTGAAGAGGTTTGCCAGAATCGGCTAAGGAAACGGGAATCACGATCAGAGATTAGAACAGAGGGGACGCCATGAAGACGTACCACCTCTTTGAAGAAAAGCTCAGCAGTATGTTGTGCAGTGGCTGTGGTGGATGTGGGAATGAAATGCCATTTTAGAGAGCTTGTCAACGACAGTGAGAATGGCATTATGATGAGAGGCAGTAGGGGGGAGATCAGTGATGAAGTCAAGAGTGACATGACTCCAAGGGAGCTCAGGAATGTCCAGGGGATGTAAGAGACCATAAGAGCTGCGTTGTGCGAGCCTTGTTACACTGACAGATATGGCAGGAGCGCACGTAGGAGCGAACGTCACGAGAGAGCCTGGGCCAGAAGAAATTGGCAGAGATGGCCGCAAGCGTCTTGTCGACTCCAAAGTGTGCGTTCTGGTCATGATGCTCGCGAAGCAAGAGGTGACGCAGCTTTCGGTTTGCTGGGACACAGATGGCGTGAGAGTCTGTCTTGTACCAGAAAGGGGATTCATAGTAGACAGACTTATGGGTAGGGGCAGAGGAGAGGTAAAATGAGTCACGCCGATATCCCTTGGTGAACTTGCTGATGAATTTCTCATCCCAAGTCACTGTGCCAATGGCTGAAAGCTGAGAGGGTGGAGGTCGAGTCAATGAGTCAGCAGGATTGAGGCGACCAGCACGGTACTCAATCTTCAGCTCAGGCACATACTGTTCCAAGTATTCCATCCAACGAGCCTGTCTGGGGGTAAGGTGAGGTTGGGTCTTGAAGTGTTGAAAGGTTGCATATGGACATAGCAACGCCACTTTTAATGGCATGGACAATGGCCAACATCTCACGGTCATGAGTGGCATAGTTGCACTCAGCAGGTTTGAGCTTTCGAGAGTCGAAAGCAAGGGGTTGAAGGCCATGTCCCTGATCTTGACAAAGGATTGCACCCGTTGCAACACTGGAGGCATCTGTCCATATGGTGTAGGGAAGGGAAGGGTTGGGAAGGGCTAGAGTAGGAGAAGAGGTTAAGGCTTGTTTGATGGCTCAAAGGCTTTGTCTTCGTCTGGTCCCCAGTGGAATCCTTCTGTCTTACGCAGTAGGTTAGAGAGGGGGGAAGTGATAGCAAAGTGTTGAATGAACTTTCGATAATAGTTGGCGAGGCCAAGAAAGGCTTGCAGTTCCTTGATGGAAGTTGGAGGCTTCCAATCTTGGACTGCTTTTACCTTAGAAGGGTCCATGGACAACTGATTGTGTGAGATAATATGGCCCAAGAAAGGAATCGAGGACCGAGCAAACTCACACTTGCTTTGTTTGACAAAAAGGCGGTGCTGGCGCAGACGAGTCAGCACCTGTCTTATATGATGAACATGCTCATCCAATGATTTGCTATAGATCAAAATGTCATCAATAAAGACAATGACAAATCGGTCTAAGAAATCACGGAAGATATCATTCATCATACACATGAAAGTGGCAGGGGCATTTGTAGTCCAAAGGAAGGACAAGGAATTCAAATGCCCATACCGAGTTCGAAGGCAGTTTTCTCAATCTCTTCGTCAACGACACGTACTGGTGATAGCCGCTGCGAAGATCAAGCTTAGAAAAATTTTGGCCTCACCCAACTGGTCGAAAAGCTCCTCAACGCGAGGAAGGGGTAGCGGTTCTTGATGGATTTTGTTGAGCGCACGGTAGTCGATGCACATGCGCATGCTGCCATCCTTCTTTTTGACGAAGAGGATTGGTGCTGCATAGGGCGATGAGCTTACGCGGATGAAGCCTTTGTCCAGGAGCTCTCAAGTTGCTTCTGGACTTCTTGCAACTCCGCCGTGCTCATCCGATATGTAGCACACAGTAGGCTCAGATCCAGGCTGTAGGCAGATTCTGTGGTCAACGGCTCGTGGGTGGTAGTCCTGGAGGGAGGTCTGAGGGAAAGACATCCTTAAATTCAGAAAGAAGTTTCTGAATTTCAGGGGGTCATTAGACACAGGAGGAGATGGAGGGATAGATGAGGCTTGAAAATTTGGTGAAGATAGCAGAGGAAGAATTGTGCAGTGGGGTCTTTAAGGGATTTCTTTATCTGTCTTGCAGGAAGAAGATTGCAGTAGGTAAGGAAGGGGAAGAAGGGAATTGAGGTAGGGTGATGTCTATGCCGTTATGCTTGATGGTGACATGGTCATGGGTCCAGTCAATGGACGGGTTCTTGCCCGAAAGCCAGTTTCTCCCAAGAATGACATCGTGACCTTTCAAGGGAGCTTGCTGAAAGTAGAGCTTGTCCTTGTAAGATCCGATGGTGCAGTTGACAGGGTAAGGAACGGGGCCAAACGAGAGGGATGACCCGTCGGCAAGTAAGACTGTCGGAGGCTTTATGTCTGGTTGGAGAGGGAGAGATAATTCAGACACAAGTGAGGAAGAGATGAAATTAGAGGAGGCACCACTATCAATCAAGGCTTTAACAACTCGGCCTCGAATGGTCATAGAGAGGCAAAAGGGTTTAGAGGGAGAAGGGTTATCAAGGAAAGCGATCATGGGGATAGGGGTTGCACCAGAAAGTCGCCCCGCACTTACTGGTGACCACCTTTTCCAAGGGTAGGAAGAAGTGGTTTTGGATTTGGAGGACAGCGGCAGAATCGCCAGATGTGACCTTTCTTGCCGCACTTGAAGCAGACAACGTAGGGGTTATGATTCCGCTTCTTCTCCATCACATCCAGGTCCATCGGAGCAGGTTCTTGCTGAGCATAGCCTGTTGAAGCAGAGGGCTGATAGGAGGGAGCAAAAGGGAGCAACGGGGCACGAGGAAACCTTGCTTTATAAGCAAATTGAATTGAGTCATACCGTTCAGCGACTCTGATCATTTCCTCAAGCGTTGTGCAATCCCTCAGCTCAACCTCCATACCACGTTCTGTTTCAACCCATGCTTGAAGCGGTCCATGCGTTCAGCGTCGGAGAGGTCAAGGATTTCCTAGGCGATGTCACAGAAGTTGGCAGCGTACTCTTGAACGGATTTCAGCTGCTTGAGAGCCGCAAGTCGATCACGCACCTTGATGCTCGTATTCACCGGTTGGAAGGCGATCGTGAACGCCTGCGTGAAGTGCTGCCACGAGGTGATGGAGGTGTGTGCAGCTTGCCACCAAGAAACTGCGGAGCCGTGGAGTAACGTGCCGGCAAAGGCGCTCCACTCAGAAGGTGCAACGTGGCTCAGCGTCAAGTACTGCTCCACTAAGAAGAGCCAACGACTAACAACGGGTTGACTTTTGCCTGGGATGAATAATCGGGAATCGTCAGTCTAGTGCGCTGACTATCTCCAGAAGGCGTAGCAGGAGGAGGATTCGCTGCTACCACACCGGCTGCAGCCATACTGGCTTGCAACTCAGCTCGCAAGCTCTCACGAACTTCAGAAACGATTTGGGCGCGGTAATTCTCTAGAAAAGCCGCCCAATTGTCAGGAAAAGGGGGTTGCTCGGACTTCATGACGTTCTAGAAAAAAAAAATCAATGCAGGAACGTGGCTCTGAGACCAAATATAACAGCTCTGGGGCTATTAGTAGGAGTAGAGGTTGAGGGATCCTTTAAGAAAGAGTGCTAGCATAATCACTGGATCATATGATAGCTTCAAACAAAGAAGAGAGCGCACTTATACTAGGAAAGCTCTCTTGGCACCTTGGTACTTCTAAAGGCACCTAGATAAGGTCGCCCGTGGCGCCTTGGCATTTCTATCCTAGCTGGAGACAAGCAAGCAGCTAATGATTATTTACAAGTAGCCTTGCCTTGTTGTCTCTCCTAGGAAATAGCTAAACAAGCATAGAAATCAACTATACAAGTAGTTTTCATTTTCCAAGTAGTGCTGGCGTCTTCGTCATCTTGTAGATGTCGATTGTAGTCTTTGCTGGCGCTTGTAGTAGCTACAGTAGTTAATCTCTAGCTTGTGCTGGCGCTTTCCACGCTTTGCTTGCTCTCGAAATCTGCTCTGGAGTAGTGCTGCGACTCACAGGCAGCTGTACAAATTTGGGGTTGGGGAATTGTTCAGTTTGAGGCGCACGATTTTGGTTGACGAATCCAACCTCAAAATCTACAGTTCGCTGAGTTGGCGAACTTTCGGGTGAGTTCGCTTTCGCCTTGTAAACACTGCCTCCCCTCTCCCACGGTCGCATGCCGCCTCCCCTCTCCCACGGTCGCATGCCCCCTCCCCTCTCCTACGGTCGCATGCCACCTCCCTCTCCTACAGTCGATGCCGCCTCCCCTCTCCTACGTCACATGCCGCCTCCCTCTCCCACGGTCGTTTGCCGCCGCCCCACTGCGCACTCACATGCCACCTCCCCTCTTCTCCCCCCGTTGATGTCAGACTGATCGGCCCTCCCCTCCCTTCTCGCTGTTCCCCTTGTCTCGAAAGGCCCCTTCCCTCATGTCTCGCCGTGCCCCTTGTTGTGGCTGCCTCTCCAACGCCAACACTGATCGCTCCCCCTCCCTGATCCCCTCTCTTCTTCCGACTCCCCCCTCCAGCTCCCTCAGCACTAGTCTTCGAGCAAGATGCCCCTCCCTTGGCGCTCGGTGGTCCAAAGTGTGGCACAATGATGAGCTGTGATAAGGGAACCCCACCTGTCTGGCTGCCTCCGCGCTACCAGCCGTCCCTTCTCTCTGCACACCGTCCACTTTTGACGGCGTTTCTCCATTGGTAAGGACCGTATTCTGTCACTCCCCTCCCATCTCCCTGCTCTCTCCCCCGCTCTCTCTCTCCTCCACTCTCTCTGCTCACTCTCTCTCTCTCTCTCTGCCGCATACTCACTCTGCAGCTCACTCTCCCTGCCACACTCACTTTCTGCTGCACTCTCTCTCTGTTGTGCCCTCTGCTGCACTCTCTCATTGTTGTGCCCTTTGCTGCACTCTCACTCTCTGTTGTGCCCTCTGCTGCACTCTCTCATTGTTGTGCCCTCTGTAGCACTCTCTCACTGTTGTGCCCTCTGCTGCACTCTCACTCTGTTGTGCCCTCTGCTGCACTCTCACTGTTGTGCCCTCTGCTACTCTCTCGTGCCATTTGAGCAAGTCCCTGTCCGACGTGCGGCGTGGCGTGGCGCGAGAAAGAACTGGGGAAGAGCCGTCTCTGTTGCTATGCGTGCGCAAGGTGGGGGGGGAACGTGCAGGGAGGACTCTTGCGATGTGCAGGGGGCAGGGGGAGCGGCGCTTTGGCTGAGGGGGAAAGGCAGAAGGAATTAGAGTTACAGGTCATATGCCTTGTAGACGACCCCCTTTTACACCCGGGAGTATTCTATATGCATTTTTTCCTTAAGGGCGACTCCTTGTACGCAAAGTGCACCCGTGTCATGTGCGATAGCCAATTATTGTGCTCGTTACAGTCAATTGGCAACATTTTGCGATAGCCAATCATTGTGCTCGTGCGACGAATTTCAATGGCAGGCGATCTGACACTGGCTGTTTGTGTCAGAATCGTCAACCAATGCTCGGAGCCGAATCCACATCACTTTTTGGAAAATCCAACAACCACTAGACCAGCCATTTATGTTCCTCCACGTTTTCCCCACAAATTGTGTGAGTAATGTTTGTACAGTGTCGTCAGCTGATTACAATTAGCGGCGCAAGCAGGACTGGTCACCGCTCTCGTCGATGTTCGCCTACCCCGTCCATTTGCGCGTTGGCAAATTTCTCAAATGTAAACGCCTTTTCCTTGTTCTTGATAAAGCGCGTTGAATGTTGTGAGGAATCTGAAACTTTACCATGAACCCTGAGTTGACGCGCGTGCGATCTGGTGAGCGACACATGATTGCAACAAACGCCAACACCGCCGACCATGAACAGTTCATAAAAATCCAAGCAAAATACATCTTGCGACACTCCATAGTCCCGTTTGCCCTAGCATTTTCCATGTACGCGAAATGCCCCGAGTCGCCCCCCGGGTGATAAGGGAATATGACATGTACAGTAGTTACTGTAGCTAGTCAAGGGCTTTCGCTTGCCTCGGCTCTGACAACGCAGGGGCGCATGCTGCTGCTGTTGATGGCGAGGCGCTAGAGGAGGCTAGGTCAGGCGATAATGAGAAACCCGTCAAGTTGCCGATTTTTCATTGTAATCCCCTGTATACAACACCCTATGATATAAAAATTCACTAAAAAAATGAGTGGGTGTTAACAGTGGCTCGGAAAAATATAGTGCCCATGTGTTATGTAAAATGCAATTTGAATATGAGTGCTCCAGGCCATGTGTGCACACAACTGTGCGGAGCGGCTGTTAACGAGACAAGCTTGCGCCGGGACAAAACTTTGTACGTTCGGGGCGTCGTTGGCCAATCCCTAAAGAGTGCTGTGGTCAGGGCCAGCTTTGTGCCGCACCTGCGATCATCAAGACCTGAGGATCTCGCTCGGGAGGAATTCGACCGTCAAATCACAACAGAATCTGCAACTTCGACGGTCGAAATCCTCCCAAGTCTCGACCTCCTCTAACGTTTCGATTTCGCACTGCAACTTGTGTTGATTCTTCTTCCCGCTTTTTGGTTGCTAATGGTGTTTTCAACCCAGCGGACCTGGAAATGCACGATGAAATACTATTTTTTGCTGCATAAAACGAGGAGGGTGTTATGTAAAATGCAACTTCATAAAAATTGGTGCTCTCAAAAATGCACCCTATCATAAGCTTGACAAACATATCTGCTCTACCCTCTACCTGCTTGCCACCCGCCTTCCTGACCGCCTTGCTACCGCCCGCGATCACTTCCTTAGTCTCCACCCCGCTGACCTCACCCTCACTGACTTTGTCGACACCCTGTCTGCCATAGAGACCCCCCAGCGCTCTATCGCCCAGTCTAGCGGTACTGTGCCGGTCACTATCTTTCAGAGTTGTGCCCCCGCTCACTGCACTTTCTTTGACGGCTCTGCTGCTGTTGCTTAGACAGCCGCCGCAGCACAGTTCCGTCCGGGGAAGGGTCGCCGCCCCAAGGCTGGGCGCGGCGGCGGTAGTGGAGGAGGGGGTGGAGGAGGTGGTGGAGCCGGGTCGCCCGCTGGTAGTACTGACAAAGGGGCTGGGGCAAGTTGGTCGTCTCCCGCCCGGGTGGTCTGGCGCTTGTGGTGGCGGCGGTCGCAGTGGTCGTGCGTGCAGCATGACGTCGGGAGGTGGTTCGAGTGACGGGCGCTGCCAGTACCAGCTCCAGATTGGTCCTCGCCACGACCTCGTGTGCGGTAAGATCGGTCACACCCCCACTCGTTGTTTCAGTCGCCTGGACGACCTGTTTGGTCTCCACTTCGGCCCGCCGCCCGACCTCCCCGGCTGGCACAGTTTGCCCCGCCGCGGTGTTCAGATCTTTGATATGGATATGCACGAGATTAGTTCTCCTTTGTATGTGTTGTATGTCGATTACTCTAGTGTGACTGGTTCCTATTACCCCCTGTTGCCTAGCGTAGGTGTGCCTAGATCAGACTCCCCTGCTGCGTCAGGCGTAGGATATCCAATGTTTAGCATTGGCTCCTCCCTCATTGCTTCGGCCCCTGCCGCCACTGCCGCGCTCTCCTTTACCCTGGACTCCGGTGCTTCCCGGTGCTTCTTTCGAGACTCCACTACGCTCACGCTGCTTGCCGCTCCCGCCGCAATTTCCCTTGCAGACCCTTCCTCAGGTCCTGTAGTCGACCGTAGCTCCACTACCCTTCCCTGTCCGGCGGTTCCTTCGGGCTCTCTTACAGGCCTGCACATCCCCTCGTTCTCTAGGAACCTAGTTGGTGTCGGCTGCCTCCAGGACGCTTACTCACCCATCGATTCTGTGGCAGCACCGTCTAGGTCACCCCTCTCTCCCGCGTCTCCGACACATGTCCCAGCACGGTCTTATTTTAGGTCTCCCTAAGTCGTTCCCTGCGCTCCCCTCCTAACCAGCGCCTCTGTGCTCGCCCTGCGTCGAGGGCCGGCTCCGTCGTGCCCCTCACTCCTCCTCGTTCCCCCCCACCACCGTACCGCTGCAGACCCTGCACATGGACGTCTGGGGCCCTGCCCCCGTCCATGGGCCGTGTCACGAGCGCTACTTCCTAGTGCTTGTCGACGACCAGACACGCTACACCACCGTGTTTCCCCTGGAGCGGAAGGCCGACGTGCCTGTCATTCTTATCCCGTGGCTTGTCTTTGCGCGTCACCGAGGTCTTCTTGTCTTGCGTCTTCACTCCGACCATGGTGGCGAGTTCGCCTCTGGCTGCCTTGGTCACTTCTGTCGTGTGGAGGGCATCACCCAGACGTTCACCCTGCCTGACTCCCCACAGTAGAATGGGGTCGCTGTGAGACGCATTAGCTTGGTCATGGAGGTGGCTCGTGCCTCCATGATCCATGCCGGTGCACCCCATATTCTGTGGCTATTCGCCGTTCGCTACGCCGCTCATCAGCTTAACCTGTGGCCACACCCTCAGCGGTCGCAGGTTTTGCCGACCCTCCTCTGGACCGGGTCTCCTGATGACGCGTGTGCGTTCCACGTCTGGGGCTGCCTTGCTCACATTCGTGCCTCTGGCACGGACAAGCTCAGTGCCCGCAGTCCTGTGTCATCCTAGGTTTCCCCCTCGACTTGTCTGACTGGCACTTCTACCACCCGCCTTCTCACCGTTTCTTTCACTCTCGCGACGTCAACTTTGACGAGTCCGTCTCCTTCTACCACCGCTTTCCCCACCATGGTCCCTCGGTTACTCCCCCCTGTTCGTGGTTCCCTCTTCCCCAGTCACCCCTGCTCTCCCCCCTCCCCGCCCTGCTCCGTCTGGTGTGTCTCACGTTACCCCCCTCCCGTCGGTTGTCCCTGTCAAGGAGTCTGCTGACTCTAGTGGCCCTGTGGCGCACTCCTTGCCGCCTGCCCTCTCCCAAGTGTCTCCTCCTCCGCCGTCGCCGTTGCCACCGCAGCACCCGTCGTCGCAGCCGCCCCAGCCGCAACCGTCGTTGCAGTCGTCACAGCAGCAGCCATCGTTGTCGCCGCAGCAATAGAAGTTCGTGCCCTCTGTGGGTGCTAGCGTTGTCAGAGCCGAGGCAAGCCAAAGCCCTTGACTAGGTACAATAACTACTGTAACTCTTATTCCCTCTGCCCTTTCCCCTTCAGCCAAAGCACCGCTCCCCCTGCCCTTCACATCGCAAGAGTCCTCCCTGCACGTTCTCCCCCCCACCTAGCGCACGCATCGTAGTCCCTTGTTCTTGCCCGCGCCACACCACGCCGCACGTTGGTCAGTGGTTTGCTCAAATGGCACGAGAAATTTCCGGGCTAGAGCCCAGACTCCTTCCTTCGCTGGATTCTCTTTCGCGCTGTGTTTTCGTCCCGCGCCAATTTCTTTCCCACGCTGGATCGTTCCCCTCCCCCGGGGAATTCTTGTCGCCATCTGGCGGCTCAGCTCAGCTGCACCTCAATGATCTTGCTAGCGCAGCTAAGTTGGAGCGGAGAAACAACGAATGCTAGAAAATCTATTTTGGCTCCAGAGCCAGTTTTGCTTTTCACAAGCGGGCCTTCTGGCTATATAGCCTCATCCATCCCTCGCAAGCAAATTTTTTTTGCCGGGCCCTCGCCGAATAAGGGCACCCGCCGCCGCGACAAGGCGAGAGATCTGAGTTGGCCCCTCCTTACTGATTGTGCACCACACTGCTGTAGTCTGCTCGGAAGATCAGTCCGTAGTCATGCTGCCGTTTTTGCTAATTGCATCTTGAGAAATAGTCCGAATTGCACACGTGTCCCGCCGAACAAAATGCTCGTTCACGCCTGTGTCCATCCTCGTCCTATTCTCGTCCCATTTTGCGGTGCTGCCTCCTTCGATGGTCCGCTGGCGGCCAACGGTTCTCGTCTGTTCTGCTGGCAAGCCCCACAGCGAATTAGGGTTGAGTATTTAGGATGAGTCGGCATCGGGGATTCGAGTCGGGTCGTGTCGCGTATCCCAGCTGGCCCTGCCCTCAAGTCGAGCCTCCTGATACAAGGGGATCAGCTCGACGTGCTAGGGGCCAGCGCGGCGGGCTAGGGGCCAGGGCGACGGGCTAGGGGCCAGCGCAGCGGGCTAGGGCCCAGCTCGGCGGGGTAGGGGCCAGCGCGGCGGGCTAGGGGCTAGCGTGACGGGCTAGGAGCCAGCGCAGCGCGAAGAGCTAGGGCAGGTGCGGCAGGCTGGGGCGGAGCACTCGACACTAGGCTAGGGTCGGGCGCTCTACGGGAGGCTAGGGCGGAAGCGTGGGTGCGTGGGACCTACATAGCGTGATACCATGTTAGGGCGTATTCCTACCATCCGGGATCAGGATCAGGATTAGGAAAATAGACCTGATCCTGACGGGCAACCTACAATGCCATGATCAGCTCAGGCTTGTAGCCACATCACGTCGCGCATGTGTCTGTCGATTGGAAATTGGTATAGGCCCATTCAGTAAAAGAGAATTCGATTGCTAATGGTGCCGCGTGGAGTCGCACATGCTGGAAGCGACGAACCGTGGCGCACAGCATGTCCAGAGCAAACCGGGCCCGGAAAGCGGGCGAATTCGATTCAATACCAACTGCAACCAATCATGTCGCATTTTGCAAGCTCGAGCACGCGTATTCAGCCGAAGAAAAAATTGCAACTAATCATGTCGCATTTTGCAAGTTCGATTCAACACCAACAGTTCGTCGCGTTGCGTCGCGTGTTCTGCCCATGTGGCAGCACTTTGCGACATGCACCTCGGTTCCTGATCTACAAGCTGCAAAACGCCAGGATTTGTACCAGGATCAGGAATGTTGATCCTGATCCTGGAGGGTAGGAATACTGCGATTATACACGTTATGGTTACCCTTGGTCCTCGGGGAAGGGTTACAAGTGCAGAGCCTGGGGGGTTATGGGTGCACTTACCCGTTACTTAACAAACCCTTTTAACTCAGTGGTTAGCGACTGAATTCTGACATGGTATTGGAGCTGTGTGACCACCCAGGTTCAATTCCTAGTGTGCACCGGAGAGGTGGCAGCGCTGCAGAGGCGCTTGTGTCTTCCGCCTACCTCAGCGAGGGGGGGTGTCATGATACACGCTGGGGTTGCCCTTGGTCCTTAGGGAAGGGTTACAGGTGCAGAGCCTGGGGGGTTATGGGCGTACTTACCCACTACTTAACAAGCCCTTTTAACTTAGTGGTTAGTGACTGGGTTATGATAAATACGCCTTTAGAATGACTAAGTTAATGCTGGCAAGGGCATACAGGGTGATATATGTGTTTGGGTTGTACTCTAGAAGAACACAAAACTGTCTAGCCTATAACTAGACATGCATAACAGAATGTATAAGTTGATACTAGGTGGTTTTGAAAATACACTACGTAAACAGGGTTGCAAAATCAGACTGCCAGCGTTGGGTACACTGACCAGCAGGGTATTTTTGGCGGGGCGATCCTGATTTCAAAGGGAGGCCCAAAACCAATTTTGGGCCCTGACCATTGCACTTCACAACTCATACAGGCGCGTTGCCGATAGGGGATATAATGCACTAGAGTGTGTTACCACTCAGAGTGTTGTTTGCTATAAAAAATGTTCAACACATTTCTTTATTCGTAAAACTTATTGCACAATGCTCTTCATTAACGTATAAAAACCTACAAAACGATCGTTCATATTCAATACAATAATGTAAGGGCGCGTCCTGAGTGCCATTTTTGAAAAAGTGATCGTACTGAAGACTACAAAGGCGCATAGACCACCAAAATGTGCCCAACCGAGCTGCACCAGAGACTGATAACAATATTTGTCACACTAAGGGGCTGGTCAAAGTAGCGCAGGTTGGACGTCGCAGACTCCCATAGCGGGTTACCACCGTTGTAGACGCTACAGTGGCGACGAATTAGCGAGGCGTAGAAAATCAGGAGTTACCATGCTGACGAATCACACGATGTGATTTCGCCATTTACATCAGCGGCGTACCCACTTCTGCCGACCAACGAAAGGCCTAACGAAACAGGGTCTATCGCACGCTTGCACAGTAGACTGCCCAGTGCTGTCACCTGTCCTGGTTTCCTTCCCCTCGTCGTCGAACAAGGAGCCAAAGACCCTTGACTCGTCGTCGTCCTCGACTCACCTCACCTCCCACAGAGCCCTCCCACCACTTAAGTTTCTCTTCCGCGCTTGTGTCGCTTCCGCGCTTGTTTCTCTTGCGCGCTAGATCCATCCTGCTCCAGTCCAGACCCCGCAACGCCACCAGATGACGCCGAGCCACATACAAAATGCTCGTTCGCGCCTGTGTCCATCCTCGTCCTATTCTCGTCCCATTTTGCGGCGCTGCCTCCTTCGATGGTCCGCTGGCGGTCAACGGTTCTCGTCTGCTCTGCTGGCGAACCCCACAGCGAATTAGGGTTGAGTATTTAGAATGAGTCGGTATCGGGGATTCGATTCGGGTCGGGTCGGGGTCGACACGTCACGACGCTTCTTGAGTTTGGCCATGGCTTTCCCAAACCCTGCCTCGCTGGCCACGCAATCTTTCCAACGCGCATTACTGGCAGGCAGTGCTCTCACGCGCCACCCCACTCCTTCCGCCGCCAGCCCACTCCTTTTCTTCTCGCCAGCCCACTCCAGCCCACTCACGGCCCACTCCGTGCAGAAAGGCTCTCACGAGGCACTTTGAAACCCTTTCTCCTAGGACATAAGCGCGGATGCCGCGCACGATGGTAGTCAAGGGGTCAAGTCAAGCGTTTTTTTCTGGAGGGGGACTCTCATTCGCCCGCGGATTCCTCCGCCGGGGGGGACGTTGCGCCGAACTCCTCCCCCGCGGGCCTTCCCACCGCGGCGAGTCTCCCTCTCACGGGGGGGTCCGTGAGGTATTTAATCCCCCCTCTCGGCCTCTCCTTCACCACAGCCTTGGCTTTGAGAGCCTCTCAGCCTTTGCGCCCCTTGTTGCAAGCCACTAGTACCACAGTACTAGTGCTGCACGTGCTCCCCGAGAACTCCGCTGACCCTTACGACTCCTACCACACGCACACCTATTAGTTCTGCTGCGGCTCCATCTCGCTATCTCCTGCTGTTGCTGCTCCTGCTGCTGTCAAGGGGTCATCTCCACGTGATACCTCCGAGGGTGCAATCTCAGCTCGTGACGTCATCGCCGTCATCACCATCGTTCCATCATCACCATCATGGGTCGTCTGGTGCTTGCTGCGGCGCTCGTGGCCCTCGTGCTCTCCGCCTGTGCGCCCATGGCTGCCGCCATCCGCCTGCCGTCGACCACGCCCTGCAAATGGGGGCACGGCAGGGACGCGTCAGGCAACTGCGCTGGTGGGTGGCCTCTGCTGCTCTACCTGGCGCGCTCTCTTTCATTCTCTCCCCTTGCTGCGTTCTTGCATTCTGTTCAACGTGCTTTCTTATGCGCTCATCATGCCTGTTATGTTCCTCGTAGGGTTTCGCCTTTAACTCACTCTCCTCTCCCCTTCTTTGTTCTGCCTCCACGACTGCCCTGCGCCCCCCACGTGCCTGCCTGCACCCTCCACGTGCCTGCCTGCACCAGACACCTGCGCAATCCGCAACTGCGGCACCAACTCCAAGTGCCTCAAGGACGAGGCCGGCTGGGCCAACTGCGTGTGCCTCAAGGGCTTCCAGCTGCTGCCCAACGCCTCCTGCGCCCGTGAGTGCCGCAACGCCGCCTGTCCTTTTCCTTGCATAGATGCAGCGTGAGGGTTCAGGATCAAGGGTTTAAGGTTTAGAGTGTTCCTCCTGGCGCCCTGCCCTTGTTCTTTCCCATTCTTGCCTTGCCCCCTGGCCCCCTGGCCCTGTGCACATCTCCATTCCACACCGTTTCACCTCATCACGGCGCATGTCACCTTATCTCTTTTCCACACCCCATCCCCCGCCTTCGCTTCCCCTCTAACCCCGCAGACTCGTGCGCCATCTTGGTGTGTGACCTGCATTCGACGTGCGTGAAGGAGGAGGACTCGTTGGCCAAGTGTGTGTGCAACTGGGGCTACATCATGACCCCCGATGGCGTCTGCGTTGGTGAGTGCAGTGCAACTCTTGAGTCGACCGGAGGAGGAGAGGTTGGCGACTCGCGTGTGCAACTGGATATGCAACATGACCCCTACTCACGTGCCGCTGTGCTGTTGACTGCTGAGTGCTGCTGTGCCGCTGAGCTGTTGAGGTAATGCGTGGTGCTTGAGGTCGCGTGGAAACCAGCTGCTTCCTTTCCATTCTCACCTCCTTGCTCTCTTTCCCCTCGCATAAATTCGTCTTCCTCCCTGCTCCCTCCCCTCCCAGACACGTGCGTGAACAAGGCGTGTGACGCAAGGTGCAAAAAAACGGCGTTTTTTACCTTTTTTGACCGTTTAAAACGGGATCGTATAAAACGGTCGTATAATACGATTAAAACGGTCAAAAGTTGCATTTTGCGTTTGGTGCAAAAAAACGGCCGTTTTATACGACCGTTTTTTTCGTACCACCGTATAATACGGTGTACATTGTTTTTGGCCGAGCTAATAACGCTTAGGGGGGGGAGGACAAGGGGGGGGAGGACTAGGTGGATGACGCTTAGGAGGAGGAGGATGGGGGGGATGGTGGAGTAGGAGCAGAATGAGACCTAGAAGGCGACGGACTAGGGGCATGGACATCACATACCTGTTTCAAAGCCGCTAATTACCCCGTAGAACGATGCAGGCCGCCTTAGCAATCAGGCCACTTGTTTACGCGTGCTTTTTATACATAATAAATAAATAAATTAAAAAAAAATCATGAAAAAAGGTCTAACAAAAAAACGTCGTTTTTTACCAAAACCCACCGTAAAAAACGGCCGTTTAAAATGGACCGTTTAATACGGATGCCGTTTTTTTGCACCTTGGTGTGACGGCACGTGCACCAAGGACGCTACTGGGGTGGCATTCTGTCATTGCAACAATACCATTGGCCTCGTGCTGCTGGAAGACACCAAGATGTGCAAGGGTAGGTGCCCAATAAGGACTGTGCTGTTGTGCTGTTGTGCTGTTGCTGTGTGCTGTTGTGCTGTGTGCTGTTGTGCTGCTCTAGTGTGTGCCCCTGCTGTTTGCTACTGTGCCCCGTACTTAGAGCCGCCTCATGCTTCTCTAATTCTGCCCTCTCGTCCCTTGCCCAACGCTCGCTGGACCTCCTTTCAGATGCATGTGAGGTCGCGGCCTGTCGCACCAATTTCACGTGTGCCAGAAATCCCGACAATCTGGCCGACGTGAATTGTGAATGCCAGGAGGGATACGCGCTGTCAGGGGACAAATGCATTGGTGCGTTCACCCGTCTCACTGTGTGTGTGCGTCTGTGTCTGCTTTTCGTTATTTCATTTACTTTCCTTTTCTCTGTGCTACCTCGTGTTCACTCTCCCCTCTCCCCCCCCCCTCCTTTTCGTCCTTTCACGTCTCCTCCGCCCCGCCCTCCCCAGACAAGTGCGACCTCAAGGGGTGTTTGGGTGGCACGTGCAGCCAGATCGATGGAGAGGCAGTGTGTGACTGCCATGGTGCGACCACTGGCCTCAAACTGCTGGAGGACACGGTCACGTGCCAAGGTACGTGGGAGTAGGTGAGGTGGGTGCTGATGTGGTGTGTGCTGTTTTGTTTGAAAGATTGTGTGCTGTTGTGCTGCTCTAGTGTGGGCCCGTGCTAGAGCCGCCTCATGCTTCTCTCATTTCGCCGTCTCTTTTCTTGTTTGGTTCTTTCTGGCCCTCCCTTCAGATGCATGTGTGCTCGAGGCGTGTCGCACCAATTTCACATGTGCCAGGAATGTTGACAATCTGGCCAACGTGCGCTGTGAATGCGAGGACGGATACGCGCTGGCGGAGGACGGCACATGCATTGGTGCGTTCACTTTGTCTCCTTGTACGTGCGTCTCTGACCGTGCAACTGTAGGTGCTTTTCGTCTTTTTCATGTTCTTTCCTTTTCTGCTATGCTAGCTTTTGTTCCCTCCCCCTACACTCGTCCTTGTGCGTCTCCTCCACCCCTCCTAGCTTCTGTGTCACACGGACACGTGCGAGCTGACAGCGTGGGCTGCTGTTGACTCTTGTATCTCCTGTTGACTCCCCTCCGCCCCGCCCTCCCCAGACAAGTGCGACCTCAAGGGGTGTTTGGGTGGCACGTGCAGCCAGATCGATGGAGAGGCAGTGTGTGACTGCCATGGTGCGACCACTGGCCTCAAACTGCTGGAGGACACGGTCACGTGCCAAGGTACGTGGGAGTAGGTGGGTGCTGATGTGGTGTGTGCTGTTTTGTTTGAAAGATTGTGTGCTGTTGTTGTGCTGCACTAGTGTGGGCCCGTGCTAGAGCCGCCTCATGCTTCTCTCATTTCGCCGTCTCTTTTCTTGTTTGGTTCTTTCTGGCCCTCCCTTCAGATGCATGTGTGCTCGAGGCGTGTCGCACCAATTTCACGTGTGCCAGGAATGTTGACAATCTGGCTGACGTGCGCTGTGAATGCGAGGATGGATATGCGCTGGCGGAGGACGGCACATGCATTGGTGCTTTCACCTGTCTCGTTTGCGCCTACATTTAGTTTCTTTCATATACCCTCTGCCCTGCTACCTCTTGTTCCTTTCCCGCCTCTTGCCCTTCCGTGTCTCCTCCACCCCCCTCCTCACCCGGACACATGTGAGCTGACGGCGTCTGTGGGCGACATGTGCAGCCATGGCGGCATGGAGTGGCCGTCTGTAGGCTGTGTCGCTGGGGCTGGCTTTTAATTTGCGCTTTGTTGACTCCCCTCCGCCCCTCCCCTCCCAGACAAGTGCGACCTCAAGGGGTGTTTGGGCGGCGGGACGTGCAGCCAGAGTGATGGAGTGGCAGTGTGTGACTGTGATATGGAGACCAGTGGCAAAGTGCTGCTGGCTGACACGGTCACCTGCAAAGGTGTGTTGGAGTGGGTGGGTGCTGGTGGGTGTGACAGGGTGGGTGCCTCGTTCTGCTGGCTCATGCGATTACGTGCAAGAGTTGGTGCTGGATAGGGAGAGTGCTGCGGCATAGGGAGTGTGTGTGCGTCTGTATGCTTGATCTCTTGTTCAACGCTTCCTCACCCTTCTGGCGCTCATTTCTTGCCCACTTTGCAGATGCATGTCAGGTGGAGGGCTGTGCTGCCCTTGGCGAGTTTGGGCGGTGCATCAGGAATCCAATGAATGCATCCGACGTGCGCTGTGCATGCAAGGATGGCTACGTGCTGTCAGGAGGCATATGCGTTGGTACGTTACCAGTCTCGTTCCGAGTGTGCATGTGGGCGTGTTTGTGCTGGATTTCTTGTTGAATGCGTTCTAACCCTGCTGGCTCTCCTCGCTGCCCCTCCTTTCTGCCCGTCCTTTCAGACGCATGTGAGCTCGAGGCCTGTGCAATCAAAGACACCAAATCCGAGTGCATCAGGAATCCGCTGAATCTGACCGATGTGCACTGTGCATGCGTGGAAGGCTACGTGCTGTCAGGAGGCAAATGCACTGGTACGTTCACTGGTCTCGTTCTGTGCATGCTTGCGTGCTGGATTTCTTGTCCAATACGTTCTGACCCTCCTGCCTCTCCTCTGGTCCTCCTTTCAGATGCGTGTTTGGTGCAGGCCTGTGCTACCAAAGACACCAAGTCCGAGTGTATCGTGAATCCGCAGAATAAGACCGATGTGCACTGTGCATGCCTGAATAAGTACGTGCTGTCAGGAGGCGTATGCACTGGTACGTTCACCGGTCTTGCTATCTGTCTGTGTTCTGTCTGCGTCCTTTTGGGTGTTTGCGTCCTTTTGTGTGCCTGCGCTCTTTGGCTGCATTTGTGCATTAGTGTGTTTGTGCATTCTCTTTGCCTTTTCAAGCTATACCACTCATCACCTCCCTGCCATCCTTCCTTTCTCGTCTCCCTGACTCCGCACCTCCTGCAGACACCTGCGCGCTGAAGGGCTGTGTGGGCGGCACGTGCGACCATAACACCGATGGGTCGGCATTCTGCTCTTGCAATGCTGATGCTGGCTTCGTGCTGCTGGGTGATAAGTTGACGTGCGAACGTGAGTGCTGGGGTATGGTGGGTGCTGGGTATGGTGGGTGCTGGGTTCGGTGGGTGCTGGGTATGTGGGTGCTGGGTATGTGGGTGCTGGGTATGTGGGTGCTGGGTATGTGGGGGGTGGGTATGTGGGTGCTGGGTATGTGGGTGCTGGGTATGTGGGTGCTGGGTATGTGGGTGCTGGGTATGTGGGTGCTGGGTATGTGGGTGCTGGGTATGTGGGTGCTGGGTATGTGGGTGCTGGGTATGTGGGTGCTGGGTATGTGGGTGCTGGGTATGTGGGTGCTGGGTATGTGGGTGCTGGGTATGTGGGTGCTGGGTATGTGGGTGCTGGGTATGTGGGTGCTGGGTATGTGGGTGCTGGGTATGTGGGTGCTGGGTATGTGGGTGCTGGGTATGTGGGTGCTGGGTATGTGGGTGCTGGGTATGTGGGTGCTGGGTATGTGGGTGCTGGGTATGTGGGTGCTGGGTATGTGGGTGCTGGGTATGTGGGTGCTGGGTATGTGGGTGCTGGGTATGTGGGTGCTGGGTATGTGGGTGCTGGGTATGTGGGTGCTGGGTATGTGGGTGCTGGGTATGTGGGTGCTGGGTATGTGGGTGCTGGGTATGTGGGTGCTGGGTATGTGGGTGCTGGGTATGTGGGTGCTGGGTATGTGGGTGCTGGGTATGTGGGTGCTGGGTATGTGGGTGCTGGGTATGTGGGTGCTGGGTATGTGGGTGCTGGGTATGTGGGTGCTGGGTATGTGGGTGCTGGGTATGGTAGTTGAATCAGGTGTGTGACCCTGCATTCAAAAGCTGTTGTTGGATTCGGTCCAGTATAAATATCTCTATTCTTCTCTCATACTTATCATCTTGCCCAATTTCCCTGGCCTTCCTTTCAGACGTGTGCACTATTGAGAACTGCAAGAAAAAGGATCCCAACTCTTTTTGCACATGGACTAAGGCCGGTGGGGCAACGTGTCCTTGCATGCTGGGTTTCGATACCCCAGTAGGAGGCGGCTTGTGCACTGGTACGTTCACCAGTCTGTCTGTGTGCATGTGGGTGCATGGGTTTGCATGCATGTGCTTCATTCTGAGTGTGTGTGTAATTTCTTTCCTGTTATTTCGTGACTATGTGTGCATCTCTCGTTCAACAATCCTCTACCCCGTTTGTTTCTCCTCCACCTCTTCCCTCGCCCAGACACCTGCACACTCAAGGGTTGTGGTGCGCACAGCACCTGCAAGCACCGCGGCGATGGATCGGCATTCTGCGTTTGTGACACTGGTTATACACTGCAGGAAGATGGCGTGACGTGCAAGGGTAGGTGCTGCTCTGTGCATAGCCTTGTACGTGCTGCTGTCTGCTCCGTTTTGTTTTGCACACTGCAGGCTGCTGGGAGTGCTGTTGTGCTGGCTCTAGTGTGTGCCCGTCTTGACATCTTTCGCCATATCAAATATTCGCCTCACTTCCTAGTTTCTTTCGTCTTACTCCCAATGCATCTCTCAGTATTCATCGCAACCCAATGGTTTCTGAGCGGCTTCATCAGTCAGCACGCTCCCTCGCCTCCCTCCCACCCTCCCCGCATTCGCCCCTCCCCTCCTCTCCTCCCCTCCTCTCCTCCCCTCCACTCCTTCCCTCCTCTCCTCCCCTCCTCTCCTCCCCTCCTCTCCTCCCCTCCTTTCCTCCCCTTTCTCCTCCCCTCCCTCGCAGACAAATGCGCAGCCATCAAATGTGGTGGGAACGGCACGTGCAAGGTTGACACTGCTGGCGTGGCGTCCTGCGTTTGTGACGCTGGTTTCATTCTGCAATCCGACGGCAAGACATGCATTGGTATGTGGGCTGCTGTGTCCTGCTGTGTGCTTAGCCTTCTCACTCCCTCTCTTTCTCACTTCCACTCCCGTTTTCTGTCTCGATTTTTTCTCTTCCCCCCCCTCTCTTCCCCCCTCTTACTCTTGTCGTCCTCTTTTTGGTCCTGTCACAACCCTTCCCATCCCTTCGCAACCCTCCCCATCCCTTCGCATCCCTCGCCTCAGAGAGTTGTGGCACCAAGAGCTGTGACCCCACTTCTGATTGCGTCAAGAACGCTGCAGGCGTGGCGTCCTGTGTTTGCAAGGCGGGCTATCAGAACGTTTCCGGCACGTGTGTCGGTACGTGCTGTAGTGTCGGTACGTGCTTTAGTGTCGGTACGTGCTTTAGTGTCGGTACGTGCTGTAGTGTCGGTACGTGCTTTAGTGTCGGTACGTGCTGTAGTGTCGGTACGTGCTTTAGTGTCGGTACGTGCTTTAGTGTCGGTACGTGCTTTTGTGGCGCCACGTGCTTTTGTGGCGCCACGTGCTTTAGTGTCGGTACATGCTATAGTCGCCTCAACTTATCCGGCTTATACTTGGCATCTAATTGGCTTATATATGACCAGTTCTGTACTCTGCCTTCCTTTCTGCTGGTGCCAATGCATCCTGTGGTCCCTTGAGTTCTCTGACCGTTGAAAGTCACTCTCTTTGTACCCGTTGAAGCTAAGGCCCATGACCACTGATTCCTGATTACTCCTCTTGCTCCTGTGCTGCTCTGTAATTCACTATTCTGTTCCTGACCACTATTCTGTTCCTGGACCCACATGCCCTCTGCTTCCTTTGACTAAACTTGCACAGTGTCTCTTTCTGCCTCAACCTTCTGCCTCTACCTTCTGCCTCTACCTTCTGCCTCAACCTTCTGCCTCTACTTTCTGCCTCTACCTTCCTTCTGCCTCTACCTTCCTTCTGCCTCTACCTTCTGCCTCTACCTTCTGCCTCTACCTTCTGCCTCTACCTTCCTTCTGCCTCTACCTCCTTTCTGCCTCTACCTTCCTTCTGCCTCTACCTTCTGCCTCTACCTTCTGCCTCTACCTTCTGCCTCGCCTCTCATCCCCCCAGGCCCAGCCACATGTGGCAACTGCCCCACTGGAGCCACTTGCGCTGTTGCTTTCGGCAGCATTCCATACTTCGTCTGTCCTGCCGGCTATGGCATGACCAATGCTGGTTGCGTCAGTGGTAAGACCAATGCTGGTTGCATCAGTGGTAAGACCAATGCTGGTTGCATCAGTGGTAAGACCAATGCTGGTTGCATCAGTGGTAAGACCAATGCTGGTTGCATCAGTGGTAAGACCAATGCTGGTTGCATCAGTGGTAAGACCAATGCTGGTTGCATCAGTGGTAAGACTAATGCTGGTTACATCAGTGGTAAGACCAATGTTGGTTGCATCAGTGGTAAGACCAATGCTGGTTGCATCAGTGGTAAGACCAATGCTGGTTGCATCAGTGGTAAGACCAATGCTGGTTGCATCAGTGGTAAGACCAATGCTGGTTGCATCAGTGGTAAGACCAATGCTGGTTGCATCAGTGGTAAGACCAATGCTGGTTGCATCAGTGGTAAGACCAATGCTGGTTGCATCAGTGGTAAGACCAATGCTGGTTGCATCAGTGGTAAGACTAATGCTGCTCTTCTGAGTCGACTCAAAAGCCATTCCCTATTGCGTCTGTCTTGCCGTCTGTGGCATGTCCAACGCTGGCTGCTTCTGCAGCAGTGGTAAGATCCATGCCGCTTTCTTCCCAGCTAAAATCAATGCTGCTTGCACCCCCATCATTGTTTTCCCCGCCAGCCCAGCCCCCCTTCCCCTCTGTTAATTCCCATGTTATCTGCCGCTTCTAGTAGCCATCCCCACAAACTCTTTTACACCCCCATCCCCCTCCTTTCAACCCCCGTCTATGTCTCCTTCCAGGCGCCACCCCCACTGTGTCGTCCACCAGCGTCACCTTCCACGATCAGACCAGCTACACCATAACCCCAACACCTACACCCAACGCGTGCCCTGCGACGGCTGCACTGACCTCCGTGCCTCTGTTGGCTCGAGCGTCCGGTTGCTGTGGCGTTGCCACAATACTCAACCCTCCCTATGCCCATTCCCCTCTCCCCCCACTCCCCCCCCCACTCCCCCCTCCCCCCCCCCTCCCCCCCCTTCCCCCCGGTGTTCTATCAACAGGAGCCACGCCTACCGTTTCGTCCACCAGCTTCACCTTCTACGATCAGACCAACCACACCATAACCCCCAACACTTACACCCTGCGCTTGCCCTTCGACGGCTGCACGGACCTCCCTGCCTCAACTGGCGCAAACGTCCGGTCGTTTTGGCACTTAGACTGGGTGCCAGGAGGGGCTGGGAACTGCGTGGCTGTGAATCAATTCAGCCAGGCGGGGTGTGCTGGCACGCCTACTCCGCGCCCTGCCTCGACTTCCGGGATTGGTGCCAGGGGTTCAGTGTGAGTCAGAGCTGCTGGGGGGGTGGGGAACTGTGTGTCTGCGAATGCGTGTGATAACTTATAAGGAGTATGTAGAGGTGCGTACCTTTCTGGAGTGGAACCGGAGTGAGTGCCAGGGGGTGGATGTGAATGGATGTGATGTCACACAGCCTCGACGGGAGTCAGGAGATGGAATTAAGCACCATGTTTATATTCAAGACACATGCACCACACGCACCACACGCACCACACGCACATATGACACATGACACATGATACATGCACGCAGCACACCCTCCCTTGCAACAATTCATGTTGTCTCTCACCGTCAGCTTCTTGCTCCCTCTAGCTCTTCCTCGCTTCCTTGCCCCCTCCCTGTCCCCCCTGTGCTCCACCCACACCCCTCCAGATCTCATCTTCCCACTTTTTTGGCACTCATCCCTTCATCTGTGCATGCATGCATTCAAAAATAACCTTTATCGGCATGTGTATGCCCCCCCCCCTTTCCACCTCCCCCCCTTTCGACAGCAATTATTATCCGTATACTTACCGCTCTTTCAGCTGTGTTCATTAAGTCCAGCAGCCCAACTTCTAAAGCAGCCGTCGGAGATATTGAAATTTGAAGGTTTCTGACCTGCTGGATGCTGCCAGCTTCGAGGGCAACAATGGTTCGTTCTTCACGGAGTACGGTCGTTGCTAGCCCCCCCCCCCATCCCCCTTCCTCCCCAGGCTCCTCCCCTCTCCCTGCTTGTACTATGGGTGTGTGAGTGTGCATGGCAGGGTGAGATTAGTAGCTTTGAGTTTTGTTGTTGTATGGATGTGAATCTATCATCATGTGTATGATAAGCACATAACATGGTTAGATTCCAACTATTTCAGTAGCTAATAATGCATATGGTATTTTTTCAATACTAAGGAGGTGGCAATGAATGGACGGACAGGTGTCGGTGGTCTGTCCATCGACAACAGCAGCGACGCACGGCAAACACGCAAAATATCGGAGGGCTTTTTTTGTTGAAAATCATCGAATTTAGTAGTTGGGGGAATCTGTCCCCTGACACATGTTCTATAGTCCTCCGAGAGTGAGGAGGTTGGGGAAGGCATCACAACTTGGCGGTGGAGAAAACCAGGGAGGGATTGCCGGGCACGTGAAGAGGATCGGGAAATGCTTTGTACATTTTTTCAAACCAAACAAACCATTATTTTCGCGATGGCTCTATGCTCTGGCTTACAAACTGAATATTCGACTCTCGAGGGTATTCACACTCGAATTTCAGGGCTTGGTGACCCCCCCCGATTCTTCGCGCTTGTGAGTCGTGACCTGGCTGGGACGGGCACGTGGGTGCTGTTGGTTGGTGCCTGCTGGAACCAGGCAGACCGCGCAATACACTTTCTCCTCCCCAGACCTGGCTCCCATATCGCCTCCTAGCTCCAGATGTGGCAGGAGGACGCAGGTTTGGATCACCACGTAAAAACGTACTAAATCGTACTGCAACGTTCTTCAGGCTTCACATTGACCAGGCGCAGGTCCGGCGCAGGGGCTACGCCGCCTTCACACTCAATGCCCCACTTTCCCCTTCCCTTCCCCTCAGTTCCACTGACCAATCAATCTTTGCAGCAGCCAGATTCGAACCATGACGTGTGCATGGTGAGGCGCACCTGCTTCAATTCTTGAGCTCTCCGAGTTACTGGCAGCGTGCAAGGGGAGCTGTAAAGTCACGGAGGGGCAGTGACGAAGTTGCACTGGCTAGGCCTAGAACTCATTTCGTGAGCTAAGGCGTAGTCATTCCTGACCCCTTGGACCGCCCTTTTTGCTGCCATGTCGGGTAAGAACAATAGTATCCGCCGATCGCTCCTTCCCTGGATTGGATGTAACTACTCTCCTCTTACGAACCATTTTATTAGGTTGTTTTATGTTAATCGTTGCGGGTTCCCCTTATTTCCCACGTGTGACTGCAGATCCGAGGTATCCCCACGGGTATCCGCCTCCGCAGGGTTACCCAGGAGGTTACCCTCCGCAGGGTTACCCGCCACAACAAGGCGGTTACCCACCGCAGCAGGGTTACCCGCCCGCGGGATACCCTCCGCCTGCGGGGTACCCCGGCGCTCCTCCCGCCGGTTACCCGCCACCCGCGGGGTATCCCCCGCAGGGTTATCCGCCTCCCGCTGGGTATCCCCCTCAAGGATACCCTCCTGCCGGTTATCCCGCTCCGCACGGGTACCCAGGTAAGCCTGAATTAATCTATGATTGTATGGCCACCGGTATCCACGGGCACCGTGGGTTGCGCCGTGGCTCACGCGGAGCGCAAAAGAAGAATCTAAGCTTTAGCGGGGAAAGGGGGGAGGAGGGGAATGTAAGAGCCGATGGTGGCTGCTAGGAGGACTGCCATACGCCCAACGATTTCGAACTCCACGGTTATGCAGGTTTGCTCGACAGATCGATCCATTAATTTCCCAGAGCGCTGAAGATTGAGTACCCATGCGAAATGGCTGCTGGAAGGGCCGCCACCAACCGAAGCGATATTAGAGGGGTTTTTATTTTCCTGGTTTGCAAGCGCCGTACACCCAAGTGTTCGTTTAAATCGCACATGATAGAATCGGCTTTTTGGGCCAAGTCTGTAAAGTCACACAGCGGCGAGTCCCGTCGAAGGTGGGTTTCTCAGGCAGCGGACTGTACAGCTTGTTAGTCCCTGCGCCAGGTAAAAACCGTCGACGGAAATGGTGATATTAAAGAATACTTGGTGTATTTGTGAGCCTACTGTAGCCGAGGAGAAACAGAGTCACATGTCGTCACGAAATGTGGGTCGTCACGTGCATGCCTTCGATACACCTTTAGTCCAGTGAACCGCCCATTCATTAGACGCCACGTGTCCATCTACAGGCCCTTTGGTTATAACACACAGGCAACGGCCCAACCCAGAGGCCCACTGATCTCCAACAGTTACCACGTCTTATACTGAGACCCCCAAACGTGCAGACGGGACGTTCTGAGGCCTCACACTGTTGCCCGAGGAACGCAAAAGAAACAACAATGGTCACCCGCTTTAGACTGAAAAATGCCAATTAGGTAGCCAGACTACCCCATATGGGCCCATTTCGCTCGTGAAAGTTTTACGGTCGATCCTGGAGTACGTGCCCGGAAAGAAACAGGGCTTGAAAAGGACTTCATGTGTATTTCTAACCCTGCTGCTGTTGTCTTTACTCTGTGGACATGCAGGTGGTCACGGTCAAGTGGCTCATGTGCATGTGGGCCACCACCACAAGCAACACAAGTACAAGGGGAGGAAGCACAAGGGCTTCTATGGCAAGCACAAAGGCCATTTCCATGGCAAACGCAAGGGGTTTTTTGGCAAGAGGAAGGGCTTCTTCAAGTAGTGGCTTGTGTTGTGTGTCTAAAAATGTAGAAGTCTGATTACCTTCTGTTCATTGTAAATGGTTGTTGGATAATTGTATCAACATCGTGTCACAGCCTTGCCAAAGTCTAACTAGGGTGCAATGTCACCACCACCCATACTACTTCCTAGTTATGCGTATGAGCATATGAGCTTCAAGCAATATCAAGTATGACCAGAAATGCTTGTTCGTGCGGTTTCGTCCTTGGTTGTGTGGGAGGCTCGGCCTGCACGACCGAGCAAAGATAGAGGTGGATTAGTGAGTTTCGCTAACCATGGCTTTCGCGATGTTACCACGTGGGAGGAGGAGAATCGCATGCGCGTCTCGGGTACACTCCGAGGGAATGGCGGGCTAAGCTTCCCGCGTCGCGCGGGCCCAAATCCGAATTCGTCGGTGCGCGAATTTGTGCTCCTTGGAGGTGACAAACCGGGAAATTTTTTTAAAAAGCCCCTGAGTCGGTTAGTAAAGGTTCGGATGGTTTTCTCTTGTTTGGATTAGATTGCTAGGTGTGATGCCATGATCAAGCTGTGCTCCATACTCGGCTGAAGTATGCCTGCTCAGCTTGGCCGCTCTCAGGGCGAAATGGAAGGGGGAAGCCATGATCCCTCCCATTACCCCTCCCATCACCATTTTCAGTGTGGGCGCGACGAGTAGCGCTTGACATTGAAGGGGCTGCGGTCCCGCCGCGTTCCGCTACGGCGTAAGGGGCCTCTCCGGAGCCAAGTCTGAAAGCAGAACCAAGTCTGGTTGATCCGAAGTCAAGTTGCAGTTCACCAATCCCACTACCCTTGACGAGTAGCAGCGAATTCAGGCACTCGAACGGATGTCCCGTCCATCCATCGGGCGAGAAGCACATATGCGTTGACCATACTGGCCGGTTCGCTCGGCTTTTTACATTAGGGGCTCCGTTGCACTGATTATAGACGCATAGTTAAAACCCGAGGTCCGGATTATCCAAGTTGGGGGTGTTGTTGAACACTTAAAGCGGTGTAGCGAGCTGTTTTCTAGGGCCGCGGGGCTTGGCAAACTCTTCCAGCGCGCAGTCTAGGTTTCCAGGAAGCGGCTCGATACACTATCTTCCCTCGTGAAGCAGAGAGCCATTCACAAGCCTCCGAACCACCTTCTAAGTCGACTCAATTATCGACTCCGTGCCTCTCGAGTGCATAGCCGCAAGAGTGTCCGCTCCTCTCCGCGGCACAGCACTTCTCACCTGAAATCGTCGCAGAGCGCCGCACCGCCTAAGGTGTGACCCTTCTGCTTTAAGGTGACCGTAAAGGAAGACCCTTAAGCCTCGGCCTCGTTCCGCGATCCCGAACAGCTATGAGACTTGAACAGAGAGTAGTATTCGAATGAAATTGGTCAGCCGATAGGCCTCAAAGGTTAACGCGCTTCCCTCTTCTCGCCCATTCATAGGGAAAGAAAAGGAGATCGTACTAGTGGTAAAAATTGTTGAGATAAGTTGGGAAGATGGAGGTTGACAGAATAGGAGATCAATTTCGAGACGTCTGGCCAGACGCGAAGCGCGTTCGGCAAGAGAGGCTGCGCATTCGGAGATTAATCGCCGAGCGAGTCGCGCTGCTGCGGGACCTGGCCATAGAGGTGATTCGGAGCCGATGGCACTACCTCTTAATCGACTTCCTCCTCGTGGCGCTCGTCGCCGTGCAGCTGTGGCACCACGTGGCGCAAGGCGATTGGAGCAGCCGGCCACCCGTCGTGGATCTCGAGGAGATGAAACTCGAGAGCAGCGCTGACGGGCTCCCGAGGTGCGTGCATTCATGCGTACGTACGTACGTGCGTACGGACGCAGATCTGTTACCACGTATGCGGCCGTTCTCGTGAGGTGTTACACCTAGTGTTTCACTGGCCAGTGAGCCAGTTATTAAGCTAGCACTTAGCAGTGCTTTCCTACCCTGCCTGCCGTTATGGCCCGTTCCCATTCGCTAAGCCGGCTCCCCGGAACCTTCCCCCATATCCCGTGTTTGCAGTTACCCAGCAGCTTTCCCACCCGGGCCCCCATGCAATCCCTCCCGGCAACTTTCCCACGATCCCCAGTGAGAGCAGTTCTTTCCCTCGGCCTCCCCCGGCGTCCGTTCCCAGACCTCCTTATAACCACCCCCGTCGAGCTCCCTTTCCCTCCTTCCTCACTTCCCTTCCCCCTCCCCTTTCCCCACCCCTTCCCCCCGTCGCCCCACTGCGCGCAGTTTCTTCCCCTGGCCTCCCGGCGCCAATCCCCAGGCTTCCTCTCCCCCGCCGTCCTCGCTAAGAGCAGACTCGTCGGAACTAGATTCCCGCCTTTCAAAGCCGCAACCAGTGTCGGCAGATATTATCTCGCTAGAAGGGACCCCAGGTTCGCAGCAATTGCGGGGAAAGCCCGCGCTACAGATGCAGCCGTTGATATTGACTGATTCTGAGACGCGCCAATCTGAACCGTCCGATGAGCCATCTGCTCAGCAACAGCCGTTGATCGCTGCTGGAACTGGCCCGTCAGAGAGTGTAACTGCTGGTGTGCTGGATGCTGACGTGGCAACTGACCTGTACGGCACAAATGTGAACTCTGACGCTCCATCTAGGGACGGTGACGTGTCACGAGTCGTATGGGTTCCACGTTCTCCGGATCTTCCCCTTTGCTGGGCGTCCGAACTAGCAGCAGCGACATCATCCCCGTTATCATTGGCTCCGATATCTGCTACAGAGCGTGGGGGGCTGTTCGTATACGGCAGCGGCTGTTCGACCTGCACTGTAGGCGAGACCTGCACTTTCTTCATCAGCGTCGAACCCCCAGGCGCCACGTGGACGCTCCCTCCCGTTGATGGCGCCGTGACCAGCGCTAGTAGCAACAACCCTGCTTCTGCTGCTGCCGCTGCTGCAGAGGAAGAAGCAGCTACGACTAGTGCCGCCGATGCTGCTGTTGCTGAGGAAGCAGCTTCATCTGCTGATCGTGCTAGTACCAGTAGTACCACCACCACCACCACCACCGCAACACCATCAGCGTTCATCCCTCCGTCGAACTCCAGCGTTCTAAGCTGGTGGAAGAAGGAGATGTCCCTCTCCCTCACCGGCCCCTCGCTGCTTCACGCCGACCCTGTCTGCGTCGATCCTCCGGCCTGCACCTCATTCACTGTGTCCTACCGAGCCTGGGACGCTGGCACGTACTGGTGAGTGTAGCCGATGGGGTTGTAACTCAATTGTGTTACCACCAGGTAAGCGTGGTCGCTCTTTCCCTCACCGGCCCCTCGCACGCCGACCCTGTCTGCGGCGTCCCTCCAGCTTGCACCCGATTCGCTGTGGCCTACCGAGCCTGGGACGCTGGGACGTACCGGTGAGAGGTATGTGAAGGAGCTCTGATAGTGGTACGTACCGTGATAAGAACCGTAATAAGAACCGTAATAAGAACCGTAATAAGAACCGTGATAAGAACCGTGATATGAACCGTGATATGAACCGTGATAAGAACCGTGATATGAACCGTGATATGAACCGTGATATGAACCGTGAAGGGTTGTGTATGAACTATACCATCCAGTCTGGGGAGCGGCAGCTCGTGTGTAACAAAGAGGTAACCATTCATGAGTGGTTGTTACAAAGAGGTAACCATTTATGAGTGGTTGTTACAAAGAGGTAACCATTTATGAGTGGTACAAAGAGGTAACCATTTATGAGTGGTTGTTCGCGAGTCTGGTTTCACAACTAGCGCACAGGCTTTGTGCAATCCATTCTTAACCTGCCATCCTCCTCTCTTGCATTTCTCCCGTGTGCTTCGCAGGTCCTCCCTCCACGTAGGATGCTCCAACCTCCTCCTCGCCTCTTCCTCCTCCTCCTCCTCCTCCTCCTCCTCCTCCTCCTCCTCCTCCTCCTCCTCCTCCTCCTCCTCCTCCTCCTCCTCCTCCTCCTCCTCCTCCTCCTCCTCCTCCTCCTCCTCCTCCGCCTCCTCCTCCTCCTCCTCCTCTCCCTACGATGCCACCGTCACGCATGACGTGGCTTCATGGAACCTCACAATCCTCCCATCACGCACGCCCCCATCGCACACACCCCCATCATCTACACCCGCAGCACCAGAGGCTTCGAATGTAGCCGCAGCTACCAATCAAGCATCTCATAACGAAGCAGCTACTAGCGAGGATTTCACCCGCCGGCTGCTGCTCCTGACAACTGCACGGCAGTCGAGCGTGGGGGGGGAAGCAGCGAGCGCAGAGGAGAGGGTGGGGAACGCCACACTTGCTTTCTCACGCGCGCCCCAGGACTCACTCACCCCTCAAGACCCACTCACTCCTGGGCAGTCGAGCGTGGGACGAGGGGAGGCAGCGAGCGCGGAAGAGAGAGTGGGGAACGCCACACTTGGTTTCAATCCTCAGATTGACGCGCCCCACGGCTCAGCACTCTTCGAGCGGCTCAGGGGGCATGTTGGAACCGAGCACGGGCAGCAGCAGCAGCAGCAGCAGCAGCAGCAGCAGCAGCAGCAGCAGCAGCAGCAGCAGCAGCAGCAGTACCAGCATCAGGAGCAGCACGAGCAGCAGGAGGAGCAGGGGGAGCAGGAGGAGAAAGAGAAGGTTGAGGCGCAAGGGAGGGAAGGGAATCATCAAGAGACGCGAGAGAATGGTCCGTGCACTGGCTCTGTCTTTGGCCGGTGGCTTCAGGGCAGCAGCAGTAGAAACAGTGGCAAAAGTAGCAGGCATAGCGGCAGCAGCAGTAGCAATGGCCCCTCTACAGGAGCAACAGATGGCGCCTGGAGCTGGGTGCCGTTCCCCTGTGCTGCCCCCGAGACCCCTGTCACTGACTGGATCTCCTCACTCAACGGCCGGGGCATCAGGGAGATCTCGATCGTGGGGGACTCGCACCACCGCGTGCTTGCTGCCCACCTGTTCTACATGCTGTCGGGCGAGGCCGACCTCGCAAACCGGAAGGGGCGGCACGACTTGGAGTTTGTGGCGCGGAACGAGAGGAACGAGACGCTGAGGATCAACTTCTACTGGGTCGATGGGATCTACACGAACGGGGAGTTCGGATGCACGTAAGTGTGGGTCACAGGAACGAGTGTGGGCTTTAAGTGGCTCACATGGGATTTACAGGAACGGGGAATTCGGATGCACATAAGTGCCAGTGCATACATCTTTTTGACCCGTTGCATGTAAGTGTGGGTTGGAACTTTACGTCCCTTAAAACTGTCACGCTTCCACTCCCCCCCCTTCTTCCCCCCCCTCCCTTTTTCCCGCTTCCCCTTCTGTTTCCATCAGGCACTGGGGAGTCTTCTCCCAGCACTACGACAACATTCAACCTTCCCCCTTCCCCCTTCAACCTCCCCCCACTCTTCACCCTTGTTCCATCCATCAGGCACCGAGGAGCCTTCTCGCAGCACTTCGACTCCTTCCCCAACATCTCCCTCTCCAGTGACGTCATCATCATCAACAGTGGGTACTGGGCCGGCAAGCGTTGTCTGCATCCGCTCTCCGCCCTCCGCACTCACCTCCCTGAATATCTCTCCTGGGCCATCTCCCAAGCCTCTGCTGCTGCTGCTTCTGCTGTCTCCCAAGCCTCTGCTGCTTCTGCTGCTGCTTCTGCTGGCTCCCAAGCCTCTGCTGAGAGCGCTGATTTTGAGCATGTTTATTCTGTGTCCGCCAGCAGAGAGGGGGCATCCACTGACCTCCCTGCCGCCCTCCCTGCTGCATCCTTGACTGCATCTCCACCACCGAGCGTGCCCAACCTGAGAGGGAATCCAGCAGCTGCGGTCAGCAGCCAGTCAAGAGTAGAAGGTACAGGGGAAAGGACCGAGCGCCTGCTTCGCAGTAACACGAGCAGCAGCAGCAGCAGCAGCAGTACTACCACCACCAGTAACAGCAGCAGCAGCACAGGCAAGACAGCCTCAGCCACCAGGCGCCATGTTCGGCTGATTGTGCGGTCAGCACCCCCAGTGTCCAACGGTGGTGACAGCTGCAGCATTGCCAGCCGCATCTACGAAGGCCCCGCTACCAACCTCTTTCTCTCCACTGCTAATCGGCTGATCAAACACATGGCCGACCAAATAAACGCGGGCAATTCTGCTACTGCTGGTGGAGCTGATGGAGTCGACAATTCTGTACCCTGTATTGAGTTCTTTGATAGCTGGCAAGTGGAGGCTCCGCGGTTCATGGATGTGTGTCCGCGCGACCATCACTATCATTGCTACGGGACGAATGGTCGGGGGAAGGTGGTGATGAGAGGGGACGTTGGGGAGGCTGTTGTTAGGTCGTTGATTCATTACATCGAGCATGGGGGGAAGGGAAGGTCATGATGGACAAAAAAAACTGCTGGATGGTGGCCTTTTCTCGGGCCGTAACTGGCCCCAAATCCCCCAAGATGGCAAATAAATTATTGGCTATGTGCAATACTTATGTAGAAGTCGTACTAGAGTCGTACCATGGGGTTTCGGGTTTAGGGTATCATCGTTCATGTCTTATACGTGTGCTATAACGTGTCTTGCGAGCGACCATACTTTCATCCTACTTGACAACTAGACCATGGCCAATGCTAGTGTTGGCCATGATTGTGGGAGAATGTGGTATAGCTTGTTTGACATTGCACGAGCTGAGAATGCATCATGCTTTTATCTTGAAGGGTCGGCTCTCCACTACGCGTACGTTTCCTCTGACGGATCGCGCAGCCGAATGTGTCGGTCGCATCAAACGGTTCTCTCGGGGGAGGATTCTTCCCTGCGACTCTTTTTCGTGCGAGGAAAAATCGGAATTTGTGCGAGATGTTTCGTGGGTTATCAGTCCCCTGGTTCGGGGCCCTGCAATGAGCTGGACGAAATCCCGAATCCCGTTAGTAGCGAAGGTCATCTCAAACTGGTTTCGTTTAGATTTGAGCCTTTCGCTGGGGAGAAGATTGCCGTGACAGTGGCTATCAGGCGAAGTGCAGTTACAGCTGACTTTTCGCGAGGGAAGAGTGGAAGGCTCACCTTCTAGAATCATGTTTGTCTACAACCAAGTCAAGCAACTGACGTCGTCCGACAGAAAGCGTAGTTGGCCTTCTGCTACGACCGAAGTACTACCATCAATCCGTCAGACCTAATGCGCGTTGTACCGTGAGACAGGAAAGTTAGCCGTTATGCGCGACTGCGTAGTCCGATCCCAAAGCTTTCTAGTTGCTGTCTAACCATCGGCGAGCACTACATTTGCGGCGTTGCTGCGGGCTCACTGATTCACGCGAATTTTTTACCGCGGCTGGGCTCATCTTAGTCCAGGCACTGCGGGCAGCAGAGATGTCGGTCAGAAGCATCCAAGCTTAGTACGCAGACGTTACACCATCGGCCTTAGTGGCCCAGCTTACGCAGCTATGGCGTTTAGATTACTACTCCATTTAGAGAATCGGCCTTCCCGCCCTAGCACTGTTCGGAAATAGTAGCTCAGCAGCGTATGGGGACGTGATGCTACTAGATTTTAAACCTACTTATTGCTCTGAGGCGCCTCGGAAGGTGTTCCACATTCTAAAGACCTCTTGACCATCTAACGTTAGGTACTAGTAATACCTATTAAATAGTAGCATTTAGTAACCCCATCCACCGCAAGATGTGGGTTCTAAGGCGCATCAAGAGCCAGTTCCAGCAGAGCCAGCAGCAGAGCAAGCCGCGGCTCGACCAACCGCTAAGCTTCACTACAGTCACAGACGTCGGCTCCGCTAGCAAACAAAAAAAACCAGCCGTTGGATCTGTATCAACGGCGTCTAGCGGCTCCGCCTCGGGAGCAGGCTCGGCATCCGGCTCGGGATCAGGTTCGGGGCTATGGAAGGCCATGCCGGAGGGTGTTCGCAAGTACTATGTGGTTCTGCTGAATCTTATTCTGCTCTTCTTAATCGCCTGGCAAGCGTCGCCGTACGCGAGCAGTAGCTACTACTATGGCGCCAGCGCCGGCGGGAAGTGGATGATGCTATCGAAGGACAGTGTACTGAAGTACGTGAAACAGCTCCTAACGGGGATTGTTGGCCGTGGCAGTTCTTGACGAAAGCCGGCTTGCGGTATTCTTTTTCCAAGATGGTTTCTTCCGAGGCGTGTGCTATTGGGAACGAAGCGATATAATCCATCCTTGGTTAATCGAAACGAAGAGATAGCTCCAATCTCCCAATTATTCAAACCCCCCCCCTTCCCCTCCCCCCCTCCCCACTCCCCCTCTCCCCCTCTTCCATACCCTCTTCTTTCCCCTTCTCCTCATCCGAATCCCAGTTCCGCCGCCACCGACGCCAATGAGGCGTCGCTGGATTCGTCAGAGTGGTCGCTCTCCGACAAGCTCGTCCACCCCCTATAACCTCCCCCACTCCCCTTCCTCCTATTCCACCCCAACCCCCCCATACCCTCCCCCACTCCCCTTCCTCCTCTTCCACCCCAACCCCCCCATACCCTCCCCCACTCCCCTTCTCCTCGTCCGAATCCCAGTTCCGTCGCCACTGACGCCAAAGAGGCGTCGCTGGATTCGTCCGAGTGGTCGCTCTCCGACAAGCTCGTCGCAGGGCGACCAGAAGCAGTCGCAGGCGACGGAACAGGGTCGCATGAAGGGGGGAGCGGCAGTGCGGGTGGGGGGAAGCCTTTCCCCGAGGTGAAGGAGGAGCTAGAACACATTTGCTGGACCTCCTCAGGTTAGTAGCCCCTCCCTAGAGCTTTTTGGGCCTCGTCAAATAGTAGCCTCGGGGCTTCCCTTCTAGAATATCCTTCCTCGAATCTTTTCCTTCTAGAATGTACAAGTCAGAAATGTTAGGCCCCTCACCCTCCACCCCAGCCCCCACCCCACCTGTATATTTGGCATTTTGAGTTGGGTTTCTTATTTTTCTCCTTCCCTTGGTGGCGGCAGAGAGAGGAGAGAGAGAGAGCGAGAGAGAGAGAGAGAGAGCATGAGTCCCTCTCCAGCTATATAAGCTCTCTCCCTCCCTCATTCTTCCTGTTTAGTTTCCAGTTCTTTCTTTTCTCCAACCCTTGGTGGCGAGAGAGAGGAGAGAGAGAGCGAGAGAGAGAGAGAGAGAGCATGAGTCCCTCTCCAGCTATATAAGCTCTCTCCCTCCCTCATTCTTCCTGTTTAGTTTCCAGTTCTTTCTTTTCTCCAACCCTTGGTGGCGGCTCGCGTCGGCGGCCTTCGGCCGCCGACGCTCGCAGCGCGGCCTTCGGCCGCGCGTGAGGGGCGGCAAGGACACAAGGCTACAAAGTCAACTACGACAACATCAAATACACGCATCCGGGGTCTACAACCCTCCAACGCTACATTTGGCAAACAGGCATGGAGAGCCTCACAGAGCTTACCAGAGCGCTCACGCTAGAGCGCACTTCACCAACCAGAACCTACACACGACGGCAGCCCATCATACGGCTTCGTCCGCTCCAGCCTCCTCAAGCAGGGCCCTCACATAGTCCCCCAGGAGCATCAGCGCTGACACGGCACCGCCAACGATGTCTACAGCTGCAGCCGAGTCTACGCTCGCCGATACTGTCCGCATCACGGCGAGCAGGCGCGGGTCCAACACGGTTCCCGAGGCGGGCACAGGCTGCACTCGCGTGGACACGACAGCCAGATCAGCTGCAGCCATCGCGCAGCGCTGGAGCGGATCGTGAGGCATCTTGCACGGGCTCACTGAGCTCCGTAGAACGGAGTGTGAGTCCGTCAGCATCTCCACAGCATACCCCATCGCCCTCTGCGCGTGCCAGAGCCGACGAAGCGTGGCGATTGGGATCGCAGTCTCCGCCAGCCGCTCCCTCCCCCGCAGGCGCTCCAGCTGCGCCCTCTGCGGCATCCGCAGCCCACCCGAGCGACGACGCCCCTGGTCCCCAGGAGGCGAGTCCTCTCCCGTGGACTCCGCTCCCCCCATCTCCGCTGCTTCTGCCCCCCCCTCAACTCCAGTCGGTGACGCCAGCGAACGGCGGGGGGGACAAAGGGCGCTGTCGCCCGCTCGCCGAACGATGCCGGTGCCACCAACGGCGGTGGGCCACGGGACCATCCTGCCACCGACACATCCGGGGGCGTCGGCTGCCAGGGCGGCAGTATCTCCGCGGACCGCACGTCCATCCGACGCGGATCGAAGGGACCGGCCGAGGGGAGGACTGGCGGAGGGGGTGCGGAGGGAAGGGACGCCAAGAGGTGCTGGCTGTCAAGGAGCGGGAGAGATGTCACACTGCGGGGAGGGAATGGCGGCGTCGGTGCCTGAGGAAGGGGCAAACGCACGGGCGGCAAGTGCGCTTGCTGGTATTGCTGGGGCGCCAGAAGCTGCGGAGAATACGCCAGAGCCTGCTGGGGTTGGGCGACACTGCGGAACAAGCCCTCGAGAGTCGCCGCGGCCCGCCCTAGGCGCCTCTCCGCCGCGGACCCACGGTTACTCCCCCCGCCAGCCCTCCAGCCGACGCGCTGGCCCGATCGCCCGCGCGGCGCCTGCGGAGTCCGGCGCTGCTGCCCAGGCCCCGCCTGTGGGCGGCGCTGAGGCGTTCCTCGGCGGGCGGGATGCTGCTGGCGTGGTGACTGCTGCACCTCGCCACGCGCCACTGGTTCACGTCCAATCTCCACGGCGCGCTCGGGGGATTTCTCCTCGTGTCTCGGGGGCGCGGCAGTCCTGCCCCGCGACTGCCCCCGCATCCGCTCGGGAGTCTGTCGGCGAGCCGTCGAGGGGCCGAGGAGCCCGCGCTCCCAATCCCGGCTCGACGGCGCTGGAGGACTCGCCCGACCTTGGGGCGACTTGCTGTCCCCGGTACTCTCCAAATCGGCAGAACGCTCCCGCGCTGGTCGCTCCATCCCGGGGAGGCGCGCCGCACTCGGCACCCCCCACGACTCGGCACGAAAGCCGAACGACGACCAGGGCCGCCCCGAGAGGAAACCACGGAGGCGGACGCGGAAGACTCAACGCACGGACGGCCGGAGGGCGCGGTCGCGGGGCGGCAAGGCGTGGCAATCTGTCCTCCGATGGAGGACCACTGAACGGATTCCAGCAGGCGGCGAACAGGGCTTTAAGTGCCTCGGAACTGCAACGAACGACTGATGAGGAGGAACGGGCGGACGGAACCTATATACCAGGGAACCAGGGAGACCCCACGACTGAGACCTCCAGTGAGGCGGAACACGTCGAAGCAAACAGGCGCGCTGGAGGACGAGAGACTGACCCATCTCCAAGATCTAGGGGACGAGGGTCCAGCCGTTTGCACAATACTCGGGCACCGCTGGACACCCACCCCCAGGCAGCCCAGCAGTTGTCCCCGGAAGAACTGGCGAATGACCCCTCCAGATTCGCCGTCATCGCCACGTGGGACGTCGCAGTTCTCTGCGACAGTCGCCAACCCCCTCTCTCCCGCCGGTTACCCCCCCAAATCCGTCAACTTTTCGCGCTCACCCTCCTGACACCCCTCCTTTTCCTCGCCAAACATCCAACCTCCATCGAGGGTTGGACCCTGTTACTTTACCTCCCGCGCCTCACACTTCGCCTACCCTCGCCTCGACGCCCTGACTGGCCCGCGACGGAACGACGACTTCGACAAT